TAGAATCAGCATTTGAATTCCGTGAAATATCGAACCAATTTTGAAATCGAATGAGAAGATTCTGATTATTTGTTTATCTGTAGCTTTGTTTTAATATATTACCTAAGTTTTATTAATTAAGGCAAGCTACTGTTGGATGAATTACAATAAATAAATAAATACGCGCGTGAGGCTCAAACCTTTGTAGACTACTCAAAATAACTTTTCTTATTAACTACTACCATTAAATCAAATATTAAAAATCCATCCTAACCATCACGGTGAACTAAGTCGTTATAACTGCTATCCATACAAAATAATCCATTACAAACTTCGTCAAGATACATAATTTGTAATTTAATAAAATTAAATTAGCTAGATTACTGTTTAAAAACAGCTTTAACGAGAGTTGAACGTAATTTTGTCATCAATAATCACGGCAAGATATTCAATCTACCGAACGCGATCAATAAACAGCATCATCATTAATTACAACAGAGACGTTCTCATTTACTCGATTCCGCGAAATTACCAAAAATTTAGTTTCGGTTGTATTCAATTTCAACAATCTACAGTCACCCCAGTATTCTGGACCAGCTTTTTTTTTTCCTGTGTTGGGGACATAATACCACCGCGACCATAACTTTGATCTATTGTGGTGTATCCTCTTTTGATTTTGCCGTAACGCAATGGCAAGATGCTATTTATATAAGCAACCACCACTACTGTTGTTGACAATTATCCCAAACAGGTAATGCATTCCTTATGAAATGTATAACTTGATTGGGAGAAGCAGCCAAAGATTTCCCAGGGTTCCATAAGCCCCTTATTTAGATATAAACGTCGTTTGTGAAATAGTGCAACGCAGTCACACAGCAGATGTTTAGAGCTCTCACTCTCTAGTTTACAAAAACGGCATCTGTCTTCATCAACTTTTCCGATAAGTTTAAGGTGATATTTACTAGGACAGTGTCCTGTAATCAAACCAGTATATGTACTCAAATCGTGTTTCGATAAGGTCAGCAGTTTTTGTGTGTGCAAAGCGTTGGGCTCTATGAAACGTTTTGATTGCCGGGCATTTAAGGTATTATTCCAGTTGCACTGTACCTTTATTCTTTCCCAGTTATTGAACTCCATTTTAAGAGCACAAAAAGATAATCCTAAAAATGGTTCAGGTCCAATAAATTGCATTGATGATCCCACTTTAGCCAATTGATCAGCTTTTTCGTTCCCTTCGATTCCGCAATGACCAGGAACCCAGTATAGGTTAACCTTATTACAGTAGGACAAATGCAGCAATAGCTTAGTGCATTCCCAAACCAGTTTTGAAGCGAGGGGGGCGGCACATCTAAATCTCAAGTTTAGATGCTCAAAAAATCTCACACTAGCGAATCAATCTTCGAAAAATCTTCTCTCATTTGTCGCATCTACTTGCATCGCTCATCATCTTTTTGCAGGAAATCTTCAGAATCATCATCAATCTTCTTTCTATCTACTCAGCGTGTGCGCAGCTAGCCACAGCAAAACACAATCTTTTTTGCATCGTAGATAGAGTCGTCCCCCTCGTTTTGAAGTGCAAGTTTTGGACGTTAGAGCATTCAACGCTGCTTGGCTATCTGAACAAATACATATGTTTGCATTTTTATAATTTCTTTTTAAGCAAATCGTGGCACATTCTAGGATAGGACATTCATTTTCCCATCGGCACCGATAGGCTGATCCCAGGACCACTTATTCCAGCCCCAACCATATTATCTTGTTTCGATCCATCCGTATAGAATACTATTGACCCAGGACGAAAAGATGCCCCTCCTGTATTCCAAACGAGTCACTTCAGGAACTTTGAATTGGTGATTGAAGTTGTTACGCTTTAACATCCAGTCTTCATTCATTAAAATTAGTGGACTTGTTTGAAACTCTTTTAAAATGCTCAGATGTCCAATGAGATCTCCATCAAAGAAATTCATGGACCGTTGGAGCCTCAGGGCACTTTTCATTGCATCCATTTGAATAAATTGATGTAAAGGAAGAATATTGAGTAGAGCATCTAATGCCTTCGAAGGAGTACTACGCATTGCTCCAGTAATGGAAAGAGTAGCAAGTCTTTGTAACTTGTTCAATTTAACTTGTGCCGTTTGTTGTCTGGTTTTCGGCCACCAGATTAGTGATGCATAAGTGATTCTGGGTTTAACAATAGCCGAGTAGATCCAATGTATCATCTTCGGCTTTAGACCCCATTTTTTACCAAATGATCTTTTACAGACCCAAAAAGCATTTGTTGTTTTTTTCTATTTGTTGTTTCATATGTCTGTTCCAGCAGAGTTTACTATCTAGGATTACTCCCAAATACTTAACTTCTGACGACAGTGATAATTTAACATCTCCTAGTTTAAGATCAGTGGTAGAGACTCTACGTCTTTTAGTAAATGGTACAATTGACGTTTTCGTAGGATTTATGTTCAGTCCTTCTTGTGTGCACCATGATAGTGTGAATTTTAATGCTTTTTGCATTCTATCAAATACAATATTATCAAATTTTCCGCGAACTATAATAACAATCTTCTTCTTCTTCTTCTTCTTCTTCGCATTTCAAGCTTATTGCTTAGCGCATATTAGCTTATTGCGTGCTCTCAACTTAGTGTTCTAAATGCACTTCCACAGTTATTAATTCAGAGCTTTCGATGCCAATACCAATGCATGAATTTGTATATTGTGTGGCAAGCACAATGATACTCTAAGCCCAGGGAAGCCGAGAAAATTTCCAACCCGAAAGATTCCCTCGACCGGACCGGGAATCGAACCCGCCGCCTCCGGCTTGATAATACCGTGCCTTTACTGACTAGGCTATGAGGCCCCTCTATAATAACAATGTCGTCAGCAAATCCGATTACTACAAATCCTTGATGCTTTAACTTTAAAAGAAGATCATCAACTACCAGAGACCACAGAAGTGGAGAAAGAACTCCTCCTTGAGGACAGCCTTTTACAGCTGTTACTTTTACTAGTGCATCTCCAAGATTAGCTGATATTTCTCTTTTGGATAGCATCTCCACAATCCATTTAATTATGTTTTCATTAAAGCCACGATTTCTCATGGCGTTTATCATTGACGAAAAAGACGCATTGTCAAATGCACCTTCAATATCGAGAAACGCTGCTAATAGAATTTCCTTTGCTGTGAAGGATTTTTCTATTTTAGTAACTAGCATATGAAGAGCTGTTATGGTGGATTTGCCTGACTGATAGGCGAATTGGGCTCTACATAGTGGGTTACCATGAAGAACATCTGATTTGACATATTCATCTATAAGTTTTTCTATTAACTTCAAAAATATGCATACGTACTGCTGCTGTTTTGTTTTCTTTCACTTTGCTTTCCTTTTTCCTTCAGTTGCTTCTCCGGTTCCTTCCGAGCCTTCCGCTTGGGACAGGAAAGCTTCCGGTGTCCGTCCGCCTTGCACAGAAAACATTTATCTTTGTTGCCATCATAAAAAAATATTTCCGTTGCGATTGAAGAAATGTAATGACGTGGGGATTTCCTTCTTCACATCCATATATACACCGCGTATCCCTGTATATACCTCAAAACACAGATCAGTTGGAAATTTCTCCCGGATGATGCGTTTAATTTTCCCATATTTCCCCAGCACTTTATCCAGCTCGTTGTCGGGTACCTCTGGTGGCAAGTCATACACACGCACATATTGAATGAATTCACCAGCATGCGACATGCGTACCTTTGCCGTCGTTCCATTCGCATAATGGAAGATTAAATCCTCCGAATTGAATGTCAGAGCATGGAGCATCGCTTCCTCTGATTTGAACTTCATGAAGACTCCCCTTTCCTCACCAATGCGATAAACAGCTTCAATTTCAGCCGGATCCGCGTCGAGTGCTTTGGCAAATTTACTATCTCTCCGATGTTTGGTTTGGCATCACAATGGCTGAAGCTAAGCTTGATGGTGTTTTTTACTTCACACATCTTGCACCGTAGCAACAAAAGGCACCGAACTGCTAGCAACGAACAAAGAGCAACTATATAATAGCGAGTCTCGAAAACAGGCTATCGTGTGGTTCACAACGAAATAAAAAATCGACTGCTGCTGTAGACAGCTGTGGGACCACCCCGCTTCAAAAATATTGATGAAAGACTTATTGGTCTAAATGATTTCGGTGAAGTTTTGTCTTTTTTGTTTGCCTTAGGTATGAACACCACCCGGACTTGCCTCCATATTTTTGGTATGTACCCTAGAAGAAAGCTTGATTTGAAGAGCTTAATTAAAATAGGTTCTGCGTGTTAATCAAATGAAAGTGGCCCATAATTGTGGTGACCCATAATACTGGGGTGACTGCACTTAGAGAATTCAAATCTTCATTCATTTGTAAAATGGCATCATCTACATCCTTAGCTTAAATAAATAACACAGTATCTGCAAAAAGATTAATGTCGCAAAATCGTAAAACATGTCGTATTTCATTAATATACATAATAAATAAAAGAGGCCCTAATACGCTTCCCTGGGGCACTCCAAGGTTATTACCCACGGGACTTGAGACAGAATCATTAAAAACAATCCGTTGAGTTCTGTCACACAAATAACTTTCAAATCATTTGTATACAGTACTCGTACTTCCAAAGCGCTCGATTGATTTAACAGTTAGGGCCTAGAAATTGTTTCAAAGGCTTGTTTTAGGTCCAAAAAACAGCAACAATCGTATCTTCACGATTTATGTTTTTAAACAACTCCAAAGAGATCCATTGGCATAACTTTAGAGATATACTCATTTCTGTTTTAACGCAATTTTATTTTATTTTTTCGATGTTGTCCTCAGTTAGGATGGGCACAGAAATTTCAATTTTTTTCTTAGAACTAGTTTCTTCCTGATTTTGTGAAACACTAAAATTGGTTCCAATTTGAAATACCATGATCAAAACTACGAACGACAACAATCGCGTAAAACAGAATTGAGTACATTATTTTTTTCAAACTTCTGACCGCATAATGAACTATCCCCCGCAGTGTTCGAAAGCGTACATCCACTCACGAATGCGGGCAAAGACGTCGGAATTCCTGAAGGTGCTCAACCGTGCTCGTCCCGAGCCGAAAAATACGGAAAAGAAAACGATCACGTAAGTGTCGCTTGTCGCTTGAGTGCACTCGCATAACGAATTCCAACCCCATCATGATAGCCACAATTGTTTCAACGTTCTTTTCCACCTCCTTCCAGCGGGCGAACATTTATCAGAAAGGAATGATTTTGGAACTCATCGGACATCTAGTTGTTAAATGTGTAAGTAAATATTTACTAATAAAGAAAAGCAAGCAAGCAAGTGAAACACAAAAATCAAGCAGATAGTTTTGCGAATCCAATCAACGGAGAAAGAGGTATTTCACTGTGCAAATATTTTGGATGTAAAACGGAGAACCTTAAAAGCGAAAAGCGAATGAGCATGAGTCTAGGGAATAGTGAAGAGAATGAAGCATTTATGGAAAAACGTGGTAAGAAAATATTCGCAGGTAACAAAAATTGTAACATGTATTCACACTAATTCTGGAAAAAAAAAGAAAACATATAATTAGGAACTTTAGCAGTAAAATTCCTTAATCGCCGCTGCCAACAACAAGTAAAATTTACAGTTATTATAAAACTAATTATAATAAAACCCATTTTTAAAGAAATTTAAATATTTTATTTAAATAAAGGAACAAACTGCAATTATCTTCGAATGATTAATGGACCGCCACCCTAGTGGACAACTAAATAAGATATAGGAAGCAATTGAAAAGGGTAGAAACCAGAATTGGCATGAACATAGATAGAGAGTGAGTAAAGTTGTATGAAAATTCCTAGCGACTGCATGCATGGCGCCCATGAGAGCGAGATATAACTGTAGGTAGTAATTGGCGATTGGTGCACGGGGTACGTAACGAGCAATAAACGTGAGCTCCTCTCCTTCTCTAGTGTCATTATGTGTTGAGAGCGAGAGGAATAATCCGGGAAATGTGTCGCACAATTCGGAGATTACGACCCAACCCAAGCTTGATCAAAGAGGACATCCCCCCCATTCTAGTTTGAAACTATTTACTAATTAAATCGATAGGACTAAGGAACGAAAGTATGCTAGAAACTACCACACTAAACCAATGTTGTTTATGAGTAGTCAGTTAAAATGTTTATAATAAAATGAGCAGAAAATTCGTGGAAAGTTGTATTGCAGTCCGATTAGTGGAGAGAAAAATTAATAGTAGCAATGTTTCCGATGAACGTGTACGAAATTTGTGCAAACAAGTCTTTTTGGGATGCAGCATTATTAGTCAAAACGCAGGGGCGCACCAATACCACGCATGCTTCAGAAAGCATGATTTCGCCTCCCATTTGAGCCTAGACGTATCCATACACAAAACACACCCACACACACACACATACACACATACATACTTTAACCTACACGAAAAGAAAACTACAGCGAAAGCATTTTTTGGTGAGCCTGCGTCTGTTTCTTTTTAACTGCCGTCGATACAACATAGAAGACAACAATTTAATTGCGCTCATCTTGTGGAAGTGGAGATATAAAATGGAACATAATGATCAAAACCTATCTAAACCATAGCAATGGACACAAGATGATCGTATGCATTAATTCAAAGCGCGATCAAAAAAAGAGAAGAACATAAAATTCGAAACTATAAAAAATTACGAGGAAAACAAATTAAATTTAATAAATGAAACGTGTAAGATATATTGACATCAGTGTTCGGCGATTTATTTTCTTGATGACATTTTATTCCATGGCTGCTCAGAAACCACGTACATAAGTCCCCCTTCCCCTGAGTAGACTTTTTTTTTCTCTAAGATGCGTATGGGCCGTTACGGTAGACATTCACCGACCTTCTTTCTAAACTGTGGATTGTGGGCAGCCCGAAATGAGCATTAAAAAATAAAGAAGCTATACCTCCTACTCTTTTTAATGGTTTACTTACACCCCAATTCTTAACTTATTTTTTTTTACGTAGGACTACGTCTGTGATTTCTATATGTGGGTACACTTAGTGAAAACCGAAAATAGAACATGTAACCAATTTATGAAAGATTTTGAACGTTAATAACTCAGCTGCCCCTGAACCAATTTCAATAGTTTTATCACCAATCGATCAGAAATATCTGTACGCATCTGTTAAATTTAAGACGTTATCATTTTTCAAAATGTCACTATTGAAAATTGCAAAACTAACACAGACCATATCAAGATAGAGCTGGAATTTAAATCCATCATCCCTGGATCAAAATCAGACCACTTTCATGCCGCGATCGACTTTGGTTTTTGAAATTGCACCCCAATGTTGCCTTAAAATACATGGTATGTTAGATTTAAAAATATCTAGATAGAGCTGGAATAAGGGCATAACAGCTTTTGTAAACAATGGCTTCTCTCGCTGATTTCTACGAATTCAATGCACGCCCACGCAAATCAACATCACCATCAGGTAGGGTAAGACTTCTCATACCCGACGGTAATGTTGGTTTGCGTGGGCGTGCATTGAATTCCTAGAAATCATCGAGAGAAGTCATTGTTTACAAAAGCTGTGATGCCCTTATTCCAGTTTTATCTAGATATGTTTAAATCCATACCATGTATTTTAAGACAACATTAGGACTGAAATTTCAAAAACCAAATTCGATCGTGGCATGAAAGTGGTCTGATTTTGATCCAGAGATGATGGATTTTAATTCTTAATACGCCAATCGATAGGAATTTTGACGCAGGACTACGTCTGTGATTTCTATATGGGGGTACACTTTGTGAAAACCAAAAATGGAACATGGAACAAAATTATGAAAGTTTTTGAACATTAATAATTCAGTTGCCACTGGACCTATTTCAATAATTTTATCTCCAATCGATCGGAAATATCTCTACGCATCAATAGCAATGCTTCCGACTGATGATTTTTAACATGAAACTATTAAAAAGTGGTAATGTCAAGCATTGTCCAATGTACAAATAAAAAGTGATAATTTGATCACTGTTTTCGTGAAATAAACGTTCTTCCCAAATCCAGTCGTCATAATCGAGTACCACTTGGTTGCACATCATTCTGCTTTAACCTGAAAAGATACTTTGACTATATGTTTTAGTATTACTTCTGCGTGAAGTCAACGATTTACATAGTTGAAGATGCTAATTTCAAATAACAGACCGTAGTGGTAATTTTTATACGATAGATGGAGTAGATGAAAGCATAAAGTTGATAGTTATAGTTGATAGAAGGTACAAATCGGTTTTTTCATCCCTCTCCAAAGGGGGAGTTTGGTAAAGAGAGATGAAAAATGTACCTTCCTTAAAAGTTGTCCTAGCTCGCTATTCTAATATCTATATGCAATTTTCACACTGCCGTACTCTAACGGAACTATCAACTCTATGCTTTCATCTACTCCATCTATCGTATAAAAATTACCACTACAGTCTGTTATTTGAAATTAGCATCTTCAACTACTGAAAAGATATAAAAGAGCGCTGCCGTCTAGCCTCAACTCATTTTCGCTTCGGACAGCGTGGCGAGCAGGCAGCAGAAGCAGCAATAGCAGGAAAAGGTCTTGGTAAAGGAGGCGCCAAGCGTCATCGCAAGGTTCTTCGTGATAACCGCCATCCGTCGACTGACTCGCCGTGGCGGTGTCAAACGTATGTCCGGTCTGATCTACGAGAAAACACGAGGTGTGCTAAAGGTGTTCCTGGAAAACGTGATCCATGATACTGTCACCTACTCTGAACACGCCAAGCGTAAGCTGCCATGGATTTTGTCTACGCTTTGAAGCGACAGACGCACTCTGTGGGCCTGTTCATAAACTACGTAGACAGTTTTTTTGGATTCTTGACACCCCCCCCCCCTCCCCACGCGTAGACAATTGTCCATACAAATGTTTTTAAATTTGTATGGGCCACGGATAATTGTCAACCCCCCCCCCCCTAAACTGTCTACGTAGTTTATGAACAGCCCCTGTACGGTTTCGGAGGTCAAATCATCACCAACTTTGGCAACAAATCGGCGCTTTCCAGGGCAAGCTTATTACAGTAACGAGCTGGAATATAATTTATCTGTGCCTGTTTGTCTATATGCAGAACCACACGCCCCCAACTACCACACAAAATGCTCTCCAGAGTTGTAATCTTGTAAACAAACTTAAAAGCCGTGGTGCAATTTTGATCGATTCTCTTCATCAACTTTCTCTCTGAACAAAATTACTCCAAATTCGGTACGTCTACAGTTCAAAAACGGAACGAGTTAAGATAATAGATGATCGATCAATTAAAAGAACTAAATGCTCTTCACATTTGTTCCGTCCACTAGCGGTCCTACGTCAAGATTCCGTTCGTGCCCCTAGACACAGAGCCTTCTACTTTTTTTCAACGAATCTGTTAAAATTAAGACTATCATTTTTCAGAATGTCACTATTGAAAATTGCACGAATGTGCAACTGTTGCTATGATAGTTAAAATTATCACCGATTGCCTGCTAAAAGCGATTTCTCTAACACAGATTTCAAAGTTGAATTCCATCCGGTCTCACCAAACGGTGTTTATTCAATCACCGCGTGGTGAGTAGTGGTGTTCTCCAGTACACAACGAAAGGCTGCTTGCAAGCAGCGAGCTGCAGCCCACTTGAGCATGCATAAAAGGAGGAAGAAGCCGCACCGCTATTGATCGGAATAGGTAGCTCTTCGTGAGTCGTTGTGGGCCATCTGTGTCAAGTGCGTCATACCAAAGAGTATAAACAGACAGAACCCCGCTCAAATTCCTATTCCTGCACAAGAAAAAGCTCCTGCTGCCTTTAGAAAATAAGATTTATTATATAAGACCACGTAGTTCTACGTCACCATTGCGTACAACCCTATAGGGCTGTCCCTTGTAGTTTTTAGTTATAGTTCAGCCATGTATCGATAGTTCAGTTTCTAAAAAATTAAGGTCAATCCATACGCCGCCAGAGAGCGAATTTTGAATACTCTCGAGGCTCAAGAAGACAACCCAATTTCCCTATCAGAAACGTGTTGGGAACCTGCGATTTCTGCTATATGTAGTCGATTTATGTGTTTCTGCAAATGTCTAGTATAAGAATTTATGGGGATTGGAACACCCCTGGTTGCCGCTCACATCTAGAGAGAGAGAGAGAGAGAGACGACTGTCGGAGAAGCAGAGCATAAGTGAATCGCGAACGTGTCACCACGCGAAGAATTGATCGGGAATAAATACATGTTTAATCGTCTACGTTTGCACACCACATTGGTGACTCCGACGTGATAAAATCGCGTGAAAAACGGTCGATTATACCGCGTTTCGTATGTACAAATTTTCGCAAAACATATCGTCGCCATCTTGTTTTTATAACTCCAACCGAGGAAATGGCGAGCAAGAACATGCGAGCCATTAGTTGACCTTACCATAAATGTTTAAAAATTGTCTATAATCCCTGCTAAACTTTAACTGAAATCGTTATGGAACTTTACAGGAACGTTTTTGTGATAACGTTTTAACCTTATGTGTTATGGTTTTTTGGAAGTGAACATTAAAAATAATGGGTTGTTAAGAACCATTACCATTCCCAATCCTTGTTTTCTCCATACATTTTCGGATAAGGAATTATATTAGAACCTTTTTATTTATGAATTTATAACTTAAATGGTGATGGTTATGGTAGTCAGAAAGATCCATGGAATATGGATGGTTTTGTAACATCGATCAACTTTATGTAGAATATATCGCGAATTGGTTGCCTGTAAATTAATGATTACCAATTCGCCATATATTCCACCTAAAGTTGACCGATAGTACAAAACCATTCATGGACCTTACTGACTACCATAACCATTACCATTAATGTTCTCAAACCGTAAGTTAAAAGGTTCAACTCATTATTTGTAAGGTCCACTTTAAAAAAAACAACACATAAGGTTAAAACTTTATCACACAAACGTTCATCGTTCAGTAAAAATTTGGCAGGGATTATAATTTTTTTTCAACCAACAACATCATCGGATAGGGGCAACTTTGGTTCGCGTGTAAAGGGCCTTAGAAAGTTTGTTTACAAATGCTTTTGTGCCGTTATCAAATGTTATGCCTGAAGTTATAGTTCGCGTTTAAGCGGGTTTCTGAATAAACATTTGGAGCTTCTGATCATTCCTTTATTTAACGTCGGTCTCTGTTCCGCAATCTAGTGCCAATCACTGACGGATTTCGATTGCCAT